AGGATGCCCCTTAGGGTCTGTTCCAACTCAAGGATTCTATGATGCCCACATACATACACACACACCCCTCTGTATGTCCCACCCAGAGTAAAGGGCCACAAAGGGGCTGTTTGCCAGTCACTTGGCATCTGAAGCGATGGCCAGGGAGACAACGAGGAAATCAAAATAGTTAAAGAATTCCCCATACGTTGGATCAAACATTTATCAGAATGGAAATGGCAGTCAAGAAATCAGAAGAAAGCTAGAAATGGGAAGAAGAGCAACTATGAAAGAACTAGACAAATTCATAAAGTGTTAAGATAGACAGCTGAGCATTAAAGTTATTATCATCCAAGCCATTATACTCCTCATCACTATGTATGGATGTGAGAGCCAAAAAGAAGAAAATCAACTCATGTGAGATGTGGTGAGATGTGGTGTTGGAGAAGGAAGCTGAGGATACCATGGATGGCCAAAAAGACAAACCAAAGGGTCCTAGAACAGATCGAGCCTGAACTCTCTCTGGAACCCAAGATGACAAAACTGAGGCTATCATACTTTGGCCACATCATGAGAAGAAATAACTCATTGGGAAGACAATAATGCTAGGAAAGGTAGAAGGTAGAAATAGAAGACACAACTAGCATTCCAAAATGTACTATTTTATTATTTGGACATTTCAGAATTCCTCCTGGACAGAAGGCTGAAAACTGAGGAAACAGCATCTCCCTCAGGATGGCCATAAGTCTTCCTTTCCCAGGAAACATCCTCCATTTAAGCCTTCTGTCCAGGAAGGATTCTGAAATTATTTATTATTATTATTATTATTATTATTATTATTATTATTATTATTATTATTATTATTATTATTACATTCATCTCTCCACATTTGCAGCTTTGACTTTTGCGGATCTGATTATTCACAGATTTTATTAATATGTTCTCTCTAGGAATATCTAGGTCCTCCAGCGCAACTCTATAGTCAACTTTAACCAAAATTCGCACTGAAGGACCTAGAGATTTGTAGAGAGAACACTCCACTAGGCATTTGTAGCTCCTTCAACACAATTCTATGGACAGTGTTTGGCAGATGTTGACCACAGAGTTGCACTGGAGAACCTAGATATTCCAAGAGAAGTGTTCTCTCAGGTAAAAACAAAGTGTTTTTGTTCTTTGCAGTTTTTCCACATTCATGGGGGTCCTGTGCCCCTAACCCCAGTGAATGTGGAGGGACACAAGGGAGGTAATAGTGCCCCTGTATTCTGCTCTGGTCAAGCCCTACCTGGAATACTGTGTACAGTTCTGGGCACCACAATTCAAAAATAATGTAGACAAGCTGGGAAATTTCCAAAGGAGGGCAACAAAAATGGTGAAGGGTCTGGAAACCATGCCCTATGAGGAACGACTTAGGGAACTGAGCATGTTTAGTCTGGAGAAGAGACAGTTAAGAGGTGATATAATATAATACTGTTTAAGTATTTGAAGGGATGTTATATTGAGGATGGAGCAAGCGTGTTTTTTGCTGCTCCAGAGAACAGAACCCAGAACAACAGATGCAAGCCACAGGAAAAGAGATTCCACCTCAACATTAGGAGGAACTTCCTAACAGGAAGAGCTGTTGGCTAGGGGAACACACTCCCTTGAAGAGTGGTGGAGTCTCCTTCTTTGGAGGTCT